ACAAACCTCATTTAAATTATTTATTTCTTCTTTTAAATATTGGACTTCCTCTTTTAATAAAGTAACTTCTTGAACTTTTTGTTCTAATGTTGCGTATCTCCCATAAAACACACCAACAAATGTTTTTAATTCTTCAAATTGTTTTTTTAATTCTGTTATATCATTTTGACTATCAGACGAGATGTTCATAGAAATTATTAAATAGATAAAAAATTGAGTTTTTCTATTTTTTTTACTTCTTTTTGTTATTTAAATAAAAAAAGAAATGATTGAAATAATACTTAACAAATAAATCAATCAATGATTAAATTAAAAGTGAACGATTAGAATTCATTAATCCAATAAACTGTTGTTGAATAAAATACTGTGGTAATATATTGATGATAACGAAACAACTTTTAATAATTTCTTTAAGAATAGGAATCATTTGATCAATATAAATAGTTCTATTTGTTGTAAACTCAACAAGATATTCACTAAATAAAGAAATAACTTCATAATAAATATTATTCATAATTTTTCTTAATATATTTGATTGTAATGACTGAATTCTTATTAAACAGGAATCTATTTGATCAAACTTCATTGGGAAAATACCTATTTCATTCATTTGATTAAGTGTTCCATCAATATCAAGATTATAACATGAACAATAAATTCCATAAACTCTAACAAGAATAAAGAAATCATTCTTAATAATAGGATCTGTAACCCTTGACAATACTGATTCTGTTACAATACTTAATTCATTGACAACGTTCATTCTACCAATTTGATCATTTAACATAACAGCAGCTTTTTCATTAATAATTTTAAGATACTCATTCATATCACCAACCATACTATTAACCATCATAGCAACTTCTGGTTTTTCTAATCTAGCTTGTTTAGTAATTGTATCAATAATTTCAGGATTATTACTAACTTGGTCTGTATTTAATAATTCAGACCTTCCAAGTTCCATAATAATTTTAATAGTAGCTTCTCTATCATAAGGTGCTCCAAGTAAATTAATTAATGCAATAACTGTATTTTGAGGAGGATTATAAGTACTAATAAATTGATAAATAAATTTATTAAAATTAAATGTTTTATTAGATTCTATTAATGGTTTCTTTAATAATAAATCAAATGTTTGTGCTGTCGATTGTTGAATTAAATTATGATGAATACATAATGAAGAAATAAGTAATATTGCAGAAATGCATTGATAATCAAGTTCTTGTTCTTTAAGAATTAATGTTAAAGCGTCTTGGTAATGATGAATAATACAAAACAAATAAGAGTATTTCACTGGAATAATTTTTGAAATAGAGTCTTCAAATTCTTTTATTTTTTGAATGTTATGTTGATATAAAATAAAATTATACCAAATATAATCATCTAATGAATATTTTATTATTGAATCTACTTCATGATATTTTCCAGATACATCAACATTTGCTATTAAATTACAATATAATAATCCATAATAATCTTTTGATATTTCAAACTCAGGAATATATTTAACTGTATCGTCTCGTTGTTTAGAATTTAGATAGTAATTATTATTAACATACATTCTTAAAATATCTATTAATCCTTGTGGTAAATATGATTCATCTATTCCATCAAGATAATTTAATAATTCATTTTTTAATCCACCTCTAATTAATAAATAAATAACTGCATTACATCTTTTTTTTAACATACTATTATCTTGAAAATTTGTTACTAGTAATAAATTAATTTAATTATTCCCCTTTCATTAAAAACACAATTTAACAAACTTCCAAGTTGCATTAATAATTGATCTGCAAGATCATTTAATCGTGTTATTTTTTGTATAAATGGTATTTCTTTATCACCAAATAATAAGTCAACAAATAGTAATTCTAAAAATTCTATTGATGAACGAATCTCACTACTACTAATATTTAATTGACCATTTATAACACTTGTTGAAAGACGAAGTACTTGAGATTGTTCAATTGAATCAAGAGTAATTTTTTGATTCAAAATCTTACCTAAACCATGAACATATTGAACTGCAAGAGATAAACTTTGATTAGAACTAAAAAGAGAAACAATATTATCATAATTTATATTGTCAAGATCACTAATCATTTCAGTTAATGAACTCATTACTGTTGGTGGAAAAGTAATTTGAGGTAATTCAATATTTATTCCTTCTATTATTTCATTTTTTTCATGAATAGAATAAAATGATTTTTGAGTAACATTTCTAACAATGTCATTACATAAATTATTGTATTGACTAATAAAATATTGTGATGGTGTTGTTCCTTTCATTACATCTTCTAATCCTGTTGACACTTTTGTAATTTTAAGTGATCGTACTAAATCAATAAATTTTGTAATTCTTTTATTTGGTTTTATTTTTTTATCATGTGAAATTTCTCTTTTTGTTCTTTTTTTTAAAGACGATAATCCTTGATCCATTACTGGTTCAATTCTATTCTTTTGTTCAAATACAAGAAAATCATCTAATAGTGAGTCCATTCTTTCTTTTCAATTTCTGAGTTTTTTTTTATTTTTCTATATTTTTTTATTATATTTTTATTATTAATTAAACTATTTAAAAATAATAAAAATGATACAAACAATGAAAATAATAACATTAATTTTAAATAATTATTAAAAAAAGGGTTTTTTAATTTTATCTTTGCTAAATAAAACAAAAAAAATACACCAAAAAGTTATTTTATTATCTAAGTCTTCTAGCTTCTCTTTCAGCTTCAAGAAGAGTAAGAATATCTCCAACTCTAATTGGTCCTTTAACGTTTCTTAAAATTTGTCTGTTTTCTCCTATAATATCACATCTAACTTGTAATACACCTCCTCGTGAACCAGTACGACCGAGAATTTCAGTAACTTGAGCATAAATAACTGGGGTTTCGGCAACTTGGGTTGACATGAGTAGTTTGACAAAATTAAGTTCTTCTTTTTTTTTTTAATTTCTTTTTGAGAAATTTAAAAAATTTTACTATCTTACAAGATATAAAATGTATCTTCAAATCAATTTATATGAGTGAAGACAATAACGAAATCCCTTGTTATATTCCAAAAGATAAAAGAAAAGTTCCAGAAAAAAGAAATCAAATTTCATTTGCCCCACCTCCTAAACGTGAATTATTACCAGTAGAATTTGATTGTAAATTAAATAAAGAAGAATTAGAACAAATTAGAGAACATTATAGAGGTAATAATAAAGAAAGTAATACTGTTATCAAACCAAGTGAAAAATTTAAAGTTATGAAAATTAACGATTTGTTAATGACAAAAGAAGAAGAAGATACAACAACTGACCTAAATGATTTGTATAATAATCCTATTGATTTTCAACCATTATTTGGTCGTGGAAATTGTGGTGGATTAGATATAGTTATTAAGTCAAATACAATTAATCTTACTAAAGGAGAAAGTCAAAATGGATTAAATACATTAAATAAAATTAAAACCAAACCACTTAATCAAATGAATGAAAATGATTGGAGAATTATAAGGGAAAATTTAAATATCTTTGTCAATAACAATGAAGTAATTAAACCATTAAGAAAATGGGATGATATGAATGTATGTGATAATTTATTACAACTTATTAAAAATACATATGAAACTCCAACTCCTATTCAATGTGCATCAATCCCAATTGCATTAAAAATGCGAGATTTAATCGCATTAGCAGAAACAGGAACTGGAAAGACTTTTGCTTATCTTATTCCATTGATTCAATTTGTTTTAAAACTTCCAAAACTAACAGAAGAGACTTCTGCAAGTGGGCCTTACGCTTTAATCTTAGCTCCAACTAGAGAACTTGCACTTCAAATACAACAAGAAACACTTAAGTTAGCAACACCATTTGGATTAAGAGTGTGTTGTTGTATTGGTGGAGAATCAATTCAACCACAAATTGAAGAACTGTCTAATGGAGCTGAAATTGTTGTAGCTGCACCTGGAAGATTAAAAGATTTATTGAGCCAGTCATATTTAGTTTTAGGTCAATGTTACTTTGTTGTTTTAGATGAGGCAGATAAAATGATTGATTTGGGTCTTGATGTTCAAGTGAGATATATTTTTTCAGAACTTCCATCTGTAAAAGATGGTTCAACAGAAGAAATAATTTCGATGGAAAAAGAAAATGCTAGTGGCAATCCATCAACAAGAACAACTTTCATGTATTCTGCTACAATGCCAAGCACTCTTGAAAAAATAACTACTGAATATTTAAGAAGACCAATAACAATTTCTATTGGCAAAACAGGGAATGTTGCAGAGAATGTGAAGCAAAATGTGGTGTGGGTTGAAGATAATATGAAGAAAAGAAAGTTAGTTCAAGTCATTAAATCAAGTTCACCTCCAACAATAGTTTTTGTTAATCAACAAAAAACTGTTGAAGAAATATGTCTATTATTAGAAAAAGAAAAAATAAATTGTGTTGGCATTCATGGTGGAAAAAGACAAATAGAAAGGACTGATGCGTTAGAAGGATTTAAAAGAAAGAAATATCCAGTGATGGTAGCTACAAATGTCTTATCACGTGGAATTGATATTGAAAGCGTAGCAAATGTTATAAATTATGAAATGCCACAAAAAATTGAAGAATATACACATAGAGTAGGAAGAACTGGAAGAGCAGGGAAAGGGGGAAATGCAATCACATTTATAAATGAAAATGATGGAAAGGAAGTTTTAAATCAATTGAGACAAATTTTAGTTCAAAGTAGAAATTCAATTCCCAAAGAACTTGACTCTTTCTTAAAAAAGAATGAAATAATTTATTAATAAAAATAATCTTTCTTTTTTTTTTTTAAGATTTATGAAGAATGACTTTTTTCAAAATAATAGATATTAGAAAATATATTATAAATATAGTAAAAATAATTATTTACAAAACTAAAAAAACAATCATAAAATATATGGCTTTAGAAACACAAGATAAAAAACTAATCCTCAAATCCCAGTTAGCTGAAATCCAACAAACTATCTTAGCAGATAAAAAAAGAATAGAAGAAGAAACAATACGTTTACAAAATGAAGCAAAATTAAAATTAAAAGATTTAATGAATGAGATTGAGCACTGGAACAGAAAACAACTTCAAGAGTTACAAGACAAAAAAGAATCTATAGAAAAAGAAATCTCGAAGTTTATTTTTAACTTATCAACCGAAAATCAAACCTCTACAGAAAGTCTGTGTACTTCTTATATAAATGATAGAAATAGTAAATTTGAAAAATTTATTAAAGAAAATGATTCAATCAAAATAATATTTGAAGATACTGAATTTGTTGTTGAAACAAAAGTTATTGAACAAATTCCTTTTCTTGCTCATTTAGCAAGTGAGTCATCTGATGGTAATGAATTATATATATTTAGAAGTGGGAAATATTTTAACTTTATCAAAGAATATATTTTATCTAGAAAATTATTAATTAACGAAACCATAACTCAAGCCGAACTCAAAAAAATTGCAAAAGAATTTCAGTATTATGAACTTCCATGGAAACAAATTAATGAATTTATTTCGTGTAGCTACACTATTCAAAATATACCAACTCATGGAATTAACTATACTATTAAAGGTAATGTAATACATCCAACAGATGATAGTTGTTCATTTATTCAATTTAATAAAGATATTATAGGCATTAAAGTGAAAGTTTTAGATATTGGTAATTACATTGACTCTTCTTGTTTCTCAATTGGGTATTGTCCTTTTATAACTAAAATACCATATTTAGGATATGACGGTTATTTTCTTAAAAAGAATGGTGAAATTAAAACCTCTCTTCAAGGATTTTCATCTTCCTTTAATTTCTGTTACCAAATAAAAACAAATGACTCTATCAGATGTGTTTTAAATGATACAGAAAGAATGTTATTCTTTCAAATTGATGAAAAAGAATATTCAATTAACTTTGTCGATACGAGTATCAAATTGTATCCAACAATTATTATGAAGGGTATTGACCAACAAATAGAAGTTGAAACAATTTACACTCCAATTCTTTAATTCATTCTTGATTTATGTTATTTATTTTATATTAGTTTTATTAAAATAGTAGAATTATCATAAACTATATTAAAAATAATAAATAAATGGTAAAAATTGAAAAAAGAAAATAAGTAAAAACCCTTTTTTCACTGGAAAGTCATATTTTATCACGTATGGGAATTGAACCAGCCTTGGAGGCTATTGCTAGAAAATATAATTGTGATAAAATGATTTGCAGAAGATGTTATGCTAGACTTCCACTTAGAGCTACCACTTGTAGAAAGAAGAAATGTGGACATTCTGGAGACCTTAGACCAAAGAAGAAGATCCAATCAAAGAAATAAATTTGTTCCAGTTATTATCGTTAAGGAATGGTTTTTATAATATTCTTTTCTTGTTTCTTCTTTTTTTCCTATTATAAATCTTAATATTACTAACACTAATCTTTTGTTTTATGAGTAAACAACAATTAAATTTACTAAGACAATATCCTACTTACAAAAAATTATATGCAATGCAAGAAAAAATAGACCAAATGGAAAATAGTAAAGTCCATTTCAATGACATTTGTTCTAATGTTGATTACTTTTTTGAAAAAGGGGTAATTGTACAAAATGTTATGCAAATAGAACACCCAGCAGAAGCAGCCATGAAAGGAAGTAAAAATTTAGATCGTCCTAAACTAGTACTTCATGATGACGTTGATTTACTTTGGAATTCAATGAAAAAAGGAAGTACTTTAGAGCTAGATGAATACCAAGTTTCAAAGAAAAAAGATGAAGACATTTATATTAAAAATGATAACTTCCCACAAATTGATAAGGAAAAAGTAAAAGAAGAAGTTTCAAAAATGACAATTCCTTCAACAATTCACTTTAACCCTCATGTCCTTGAAGTTTGTCATACATTCAAACAAAAAATATTTACGACAAATGATTTAGCTGATGCAATTCTTTCAGTACTTGGACATTGATTTATATATAACTGGTTGTTCATTACTTTTAAGTTTTTTTCTTTATTAATTTTTTAAGAAGGGGCGAAGAGGGAAATGACATTTACAAACACAATAAAAACGAAAAATAAGAGTAAAGTCGATAGAAAAAAACCCTTCACTCAGATTTTAATTAAGATTTAATGATGAAATAAACTAAACTATAATTAATAAGAAAATAAGAAATAATAAATAGAAAAAATAAAGTAAAATCAGAAGAGAAAAAAAAAAGAATTATTAGATGAAGAAAGAAAAAGAATCTTAAAAGAACTGAATAATCCAAAAAATATGTCAGCTGATTTAAGACAAATCTTATCTGATTTGGCTAATAGTAAAAAGCTCATTGAAGGTACTCTTTCAAAACTTAGACTTGCTTCAAAAAATGGTGACGTTAAATTGTACAAACAAAAACAAACTGAACTAAAAAATGAGATGGAACAATTCCGATCTATTCTTGAACGTGCAACTGGCGTCTCTGAAGACGTCATTGAAGACTATCCAGAACTTAATTATAATGCTAAAGTTGCTCAATACTTTTCATTTACTTCAAATATCCAAAATAATATTGCTCCTCCACCTCAACAACAATCACTTGGTAACGCTGAAAATGAACCATTAATTGGTTATGATGATGAAGCTCGTTTACAAGACCAAAGTAATTTAGTAACTGAAATGTATGCTGATAATACTCAAGAAATTAGTGAAATTGTAACAAAAATGAAAGATTTAAATGTTGGATTTACTAAATTACACTCATTAACAGAAATACAACAAACTCAAATTGATAATATTGAAGTAAACGTTCTTACTGCTGATGAAAAAGTTGCTGATGGTGTTGATGAAATTAGTCAAGCACAAAATTATCAAAAGAAAGCTAGTAAAAAACTATGGATTATTCTTTGTATTGCAGGAGGAATTGTTATTGTTCTTGGGGCAATTGTAACTCTTGTGTGCATCCTTAAATTCTCTGGAAAGAAAAATAATTGAAACAATGTTTTTTTGGATGAATTTAATTTTATACTTTATTTTATAATTAAAACATGAAATAATAAAAAGCGATGAAAGAATTAAATGATATCTTCAAAGTGTTTATCAGTTCTAATAACTGTTTGTTTATAATTTTTTCCTAAAGTTGATTGAACAAATTTAACAGTATCAGATAATATTGTTTCATTTGTTTGAATTTGTTGTAATTGATTTAATTTTATTTGATGTTCTTGTTTAGTTAAAAGAATAAATTCAGATGCATGCATCTCAACAAAATAAGGTACTTTTGGTAAACAACATAATCTTAATTTCTCTAAATCAGTTGGAAGTTCGTTTACAATATTTGATAACATTGTCATATTAATTATTGACTCTGGACTTTCATCTTCAATTCTTGCTATTTTATCTCTTAATAAATAAAGTTTTTTGAATGTATCAAATTGTGTCTTTTTAATCCAACTTCTTCTTGCTACTCGTTCTATAACATCATCTGAACAAACTGTAGGTCTAAATAGACGAAGACACAATTCATTTGATTTATTTAATACTTCTTCTAATATACCAACATCAATACATTCATTTCTTAATTGATCAATAATATAAAGAAGATAATGAGTGTCTCCTCTTGCATACTCAATCATTTCTTTTGTTAATGGACGTAATCTCCAATCAGCTAATTGATATTTCTTATCAGCATCTACATTACAATATTTTTGTAAAAGATATTTTAATGAAAAGTGTTGTAATTTTAATGCTCGTGCACATTGTCCTGAATCAATACAATTTACAACATATAACCCAAAGTTATATGATAACCAAATCATATCAAAATCACATCCATGAAATACTTTCTCAATATTTGGATTTGTAAAAGGATCATTTAATAGTGTTATTGAATCTCTTAATGTAATTGTATCAATAATATAATCACTTGATCGTGTACTAATTTGTAATAAACATACAAACCCATAATAAGAATGCTCACTATGATGTTCTACATCGACAGCAAATTGATTGACATGATTTAATGATATAATCATTTCTTGAAGAAGTTCTAATGTATTAACATAAACCAATGGTGTTTTCTCAAATGATAAAGGAGGTTGTGGAGTGCATTTTTCTAACTGCCAACCCATTTGTTTTAATTCATGAATCTCATTAATATAAGGATGAGGTTGTGTATCAACAGGATATTTTGAATGATATTTTTTAATACATTTTGGTTTATATTCAACACTAAAATTATCTGGTTTATCAGTAAAATTTAATTGTGGTTTGTTGATAACTTGTGGCTTATCATCAAACTGATTTTTTGTTAATTCTAATGTTTCTTCTATTTCAACAGCCTCAAGTAAAAAATCAACTACATGAGTAACAACATCAATATCATTTGGGCGTTCTTTCTCATTGTCAGTTAGTTTACTGTGAAGTTTAGGATGAATGTCGTTAAACATTTTTAGTGTTTGATTAATTTCACTTAGTACATTGTCAATGGATTGACTAAACTCTTTATATGACATCATTTCAATATATCTATTTCCTGTGGCAAATGATTTTGTTGAACGAGCAGTCTCTACAGCATATCTTTTAATATTTTCACAAAATGAATCAACAATTTCTGATTGTTTTTTCATTAGCTTATTTTATGTTTTATTAGTTTTTTTTAATTAAAACCCTTTTTTGCGTTATGAAAATTTTGGTTTAATAACAAAAATTAATTAAAATGTCATTTGTTCTACCACTTCAGTACTGTTTAATGGTCTTTTTCTACGATCACGAACTGCTTGAAATGTTGTACGAATAACAATGAATAGAACTGTTGCCAATACAAAAAGAGGGAGAAAGATCATTCCTGGAAGTACTTCTCTGGTGATTTCATTTTCTTTTGCTTCTACAAAAACAGGTTTGCCGAGTGTTGTTGATATGAAAAGACAAATAACAATTGATGTGATGGTCATTTAATTAATATTTGTGGTTATTCTTTCGTTTTTTTTAGATTTTTAGATTTTATTTTTGTAATATATAACAACAAAGTTAAAAGGTTCATTTTTTTGAATTTCATTCAAAAATCAAAAACACTAGAAAAAAAAAAAGAATAGAAAAAGTTCAGAAGAAGAGTTATTGAAACAAATTTTGTCAAAACTTAAATTTATTCTATTCATCTCATAAAATCATATCATCTATTCGATAATGAAGAACGAAAAGAGGTGTGATTCAAATGTTACTAATACAGAAGAAGAAATCAAAAGACAATTAAATGAATTTGAACAAATGCTTCTTCAATCTCTTAAAGCCAAATTTAGTCCTTTATTTGTTCCATCAAATACTGACACAATGAACGATTCTATCAATAAAATATACTTATAAATGATTCTTTATTAAAAGAAAGTTATGGTTATTTTTTGTTTACTCAAAAATTAAATTGTTTCTATCAAAGAGATACATTTGCTGCCATTTGATAAATTTAGTATGATTAATTTAAAAATATAAATTTTATTTTTCTTTGTATTCCTAAAAATAAAATACATTAATTCTATTTTAAAAGAAAATCTTTATTCTCTTTAAAAGACTAGAAATTGTTTATTTTTCATTCTTTTGTAATTCTTTTAAAAGAAAAAGACTTAATTGTTTTGTTTTTCAAATATAAACAAATTCAGAAATTATAGATAATAACAAACATTATTTTTGTTATTGTCAAAACTTAAAAAGTCATTTGAGATTATTGAGAAAAGATTTAGTTATATTTGAGAATATTATAACATAAAAATTAACTGTTTAATAATTTGAATATTTTTCTAAGAAAGGAGAAAATAAATTATTAGAGTCTATATATTAATTACTATTAATTATGGATGAAGAACTAATTAAGAGAATCAAAACACAACATAAGTCAACCATTTTACTTTCTAAAAAATCAATGTTGTTATTGTTATAATTGAAACTAAAATTATTCTTTACATTCAAAAAAGTATAGATAAAAAGTGTTTGATGTATCATTGATTATTAAGTAATTATCAATTATATAAATTGTCTATTTATTTTGTAAATTAAAAGTTTAAATTTTATGATAAGATATATTAAAATTCATCAAATTAGTTGTATGTTTATTAGAGTATTTCACTTACACATATTTAGAAAGTAATAACAATAATTATCTTAAATAAAGTATTAACTAAAAAAAATAAACATCAAAATTACACTAGTTGAAGACTTGTATTTAATTTCTCATAAGAATTCCAATGTTCTCTTATTTTATCATTCCAGAGAAATAAGCGAGATTCTTTTAAGACTTGTCTTGAATCAGATAAAAGATCATCTAATTTCAAATCAAGATGAAAAGATCTTCTAACAAGTTCAAAGTGTTGAAGTAAAGGAGAAGATGCAATTATTTTTAATAAAGGAAATAGTTCTTCTATTTGATTACAATAATGTTTAATAATGTTATTCCATCCAAACAGATTAGTTTTGACTTCCCATAAAATAAGAATTTGAGAATAAATAAAACTTATTCTAACAACTATTTCAACTACATCTCCATTTTCATAAATATCTTTTGCTTTTAAACATAAATGATTTAAATATTCTATTACTTCCAATTCATTAAAAGTATTAATTTGAGATAAACCACGATTAAGAGGAGATAAACATTCATTTTTTATTGAACAAAGACTTTGAAGAGAAGTACTTGATTTAAATATATCTGTTAGAAGTTTAGCATTAATTTGAATTTTTTTATTTTTTAGAAAAGTTAAAGGAAGAGAATTTGATTTTATAATTCTCTTTTCTGAACTAGAAGTTATTGGTTTTGGTAAGCTTTTAATTTTAATAGAAAGGTCATTTAATGAATGAATTCTAGTTATTGGAGTTATATCTTTTGTTGAAAGTGGTATTAATTTATTTATAATCCAATACGACATTTCAGTTGAAGTTTTAATTTGTACAACATCTTTTTGTCTTGTTCTTCCTTTTCTAATGCATCTTCCATTTCGAATAATAGTTCCAGTAATTCCATTTGTTTTAATTATTTTTTGTGAAAGATGAATAGTTTGAGAAGAAATTATAGTACAGAGATATTGTTTGTAAGGATGGATAGACCAAATGACTTCTTGGTTGAGGAACAAAGAAGTCATAGAAATAGAAAAAGTGTAGTTTTCAAAACAATTTTAGAAGAGTTCGTTTTAGAATATTTTAATTCATTAATAATTCATTAATGATAAAAAAAAAAAAGAAAAAAGAAAAACTAAAAAGAAAAGAAAAGAAAAAAAAAACAATGGATGATCAATTTGATGAATTTGGGAATTACATTGGGAATGACCAAGTTATAGAAGAAGTAAGTCATGAAGTTGAAGTTGAAAATAATAATGAAAATAACCAAAACAATAATAAAGAAAGAGAAAATCAAATTATTTTACATGAAGATAAACAATATTATCAAACAGCAGAAGAAATCTATGGTAATGATGTTGAAGTATTATATAGAAATGAAGATGAACAAAGTATTAATGAAGGTATAATACCAGTAGAGAAAAATAAGAAAATACAAAGAGAATATAAAAAAATACCAATAAGTAAGTATAATTTTGAATATATTTCAGAACAAATGAATAATATAGAAAAGATTAGAAATATTGCAGTAATAGGATCATTACATCATGGAAAAACACAAATGATTGATTTATTATTTAAATATTCACATGATAAAATTATTGATGTTGATAAATTAACAAGAAATTATATGGATACAAGAAATGATGAACAAGAATTAAAAATAACAATAAAATGTAGTCAAATAAGTTTATGTATTCCATCAAAAAAAAAAGGATATTATTTATGTAATATTATTGATACTCCTGGACATTCAGATTTTATTGATGAAGTTATTATTGGACTTTCATTAGCAGATAATGTTATTATTACAATTGATTGTGCTGAAGGAGTTTTAATAACAACAAAACATTTAATTGAAATAGTAGCACAAGAACATCTTCCAATAATTATTGTTATAACAAAAATAGATAGATTAATAATTGATTTAAAACTACCACCAGAAGATAGTTATTGTAAAATAAGAAATATTATTTGTGAAGTTAATGAAATATTAAATAAATATCAAATGAAATTAATATCACCTGAAAATAATACTGTTTTATTTGAATCATCAATATTTGGATGTATTTTTTCATTAAATAGTTTTTCAGAAAAATATATTCCAAAAACAATAAAAGGAACAATAGAACAAAGAATTAGTGGAGCAATTGGATTTGATAGTGAAATATTTGGTCAAAATATGTGGGGAGATAAATGGTTTGATCATCAAACACATAAATTTAAAAAAATAAAAGGAAATGAAAAAAGAACATTTGTTGAATTTATATTAGAACCAATTTATAAAATTGTTGGAATATGTCTTTCTAAAGAAGGAAAAGAATTAAAACAAGAATTAAAGAAATTTAATATTAAATTAGAAGGGAATGAAAGTGAAATAAATTTTATTCCATTATTAAGAACAGTATTTTATAAATTTTTTGGAGAAAGAAATTTAACAGGATTTGGAGATACTCTTCAAGAATTAATGAACCCAAAAGAAGGAGCACAAAAAATAATAACAAAAATTTCAAATGATAAAATAGAATTGAAAGAAATAATTAAAAAATGTGATAGAAATGGACCATTAATTATGAGTATTATTCGATTATTACCAAATACTATAAATTCAGAAATGATTGGAGTTTGTAAAATATATAGTGGAACTATTCATGAAGGAGATAGTGTAAGAGTATTAGGAAATAATTTTTCAGAAACAAATACAGAAGATATGAGAATTGAAGAAGTTTTAAGTGTTGAATTAGATATGGCACAATATAAAGTAGCAATGAAACAAGGAATACCAGCAGGAAATATTTGTATTATAAAAGGAATTAATCAAATTATTAGTAAAAATGGGACAGTTTTTGATAAAAGTTTAACAGAAATTCAACATATTAGAAATATTGAAATACCAATGGCATATATTAAAGTAGCAGTTGAAGCATTAAAACCATCAGAAAAAGAAATAATGATAGAATCTCTTTCAAAAGTAACACAAATTTATCCTGGTTCAATAGTAAAATGTGAAGATAGTGGAGAATATATAATAACAGGATATGGAGAAATGTATTTAGATTGTGTATTAAGAGATATAAGAAATATGTTTACACCAATAGAAATTAAAGTTAGTGAACCATGTGTAATTTTTAAAGAAACAGTATCATGTTTGTCTCAAATGAAAAGTGTTGCACTTTCAACAAATCATAGAAATAGAATTGCTGTTATTATTGATCCATTAGATGAAAATACAATTAAAGGAATAGAAAAAGGAGAATTAAAAGAAGAGAAAGGAAGAAATGAAATATTATATCAGAAATATCATTGGGATATTTTTGCATCAAAATCTCTTCTTTGTATTGGACCAGAAGAAAAAAGTCCAAATGTATTATTAAATGACATTTTAGAAGAAGAAAAAAGAGAAAAAATAAATAAAATGAAAGAAGCATGTTGTATTGGATTTAAATGGGCAATGAGTTCAGGACCATTATGTGAAGAAGAAATGAGAAATTGTAGAGTAAGAATTATTGATCTTGAATTTGAAAGAAATGTTGATGAACAACAAGTTATTCAAGCATTAAGAAGATCAATTTATGCAGGAATTATTCTATCATCACCACAACTTTTAGAACCAATTTATTCAGTTGAAATTATTACTCCAGAAAATGCAATTAAAGGTATAACTAAAAGTATTAGTGATAGACGTGGTTTTATTATTCAACAACAACCTCTTGAAGGTACTCCATTCCAACAAATTCATGGAAATATCCCATTAATAGAAATATTTGGATTTGAAACAGACATTAGAACATTCAGTAGAGGCCAAGCATTTGTTCAAAGTTGGTTTGATCACTGGGGAATTGTTCCAGGTGATCCTTTAGATAAAGAAATTAAACCATTAAATTTACAACCAAATCCTCAACCTTATTTGTCAAGAGAATTTATGATGAAAACAAGAAGAAGAAAAGGATTAATTGATGACGTTGATACGTCAAAGTATTTTGATGAAGAAATGCTTTCAACAATGGACCAAAATAATTTCATATTTTGATTGAAAAAATTTATTTTATCTAATGATGTTTATTAATTTTATCTTCATTTTTGATTTATTTCTCTAAATTAAAAGATTTGTTATGAACTATGATATTTAAAAATCATTACTTCATGTCAACCACTTTTTGTTTTGAAGAAGAGAGAGAAAAAATTGAAACTCTATTTAGATTTACCCCAGACCCAGTAACAGAAAACAAAAAGTTAAAAGAAGAAGTCATGACCCTTCAAGAAGTAGCCAACCAAAATTTCGAGATTGCTAATATCAATTATGGAGTATGTATGACGTATGATGAAAAGATCAAAGAGTTAACTGAGTCCATCCAAATTTTGGAAAAGGAAAATAAAGAAATAAAAGACAAGTGTACCAAAGAAGAAGAAATAAAAGAAGGGCTTGACCAAGAGATAACAAAACTAAACAATGAAATTGCCCAGTTACGAGAAAAAGTTCTTTTCTTAAATGATGAAAAAGAGAAACTTTATGCAGAAAATTCTACTTTAAAAACAGTGAATAAAGACCAAGGAGTAGAACTACAAGATCAAATCAGTGGCTTACAGAAAAGTGATGAAGAAAAAGACACATCAATACAACAACAAAACGAACCAAAACAAGAAGGGTTAACAGAAATAAATGAAAATAGACCAAATGAAACCAAAAAATTAGAAAAACGAATAAATGAGAAAAAAACTGAGGAAGCTATGAAAATTATAGAAAGACTTGGTGGTATTAAAGCACTTACTAAAAAAACAAACACGGACCCAAATAGTATGCACTGGACTCATAACCCACAAGAGGATGACCTTTTTGAAGTAATTACTTTTTGTAACGACAAAACTTGTTCTTTCGTTGTGGTTTATAACTTACAAGCAGAGATGAATGGAGAAGAAGTACAACCGTATTGTCAGACAACTGAAAGTAATTTTTCTGTGTTTTATTTACCACCAGGAATTTATGAGATATGTGCGTATAATGATCAGTCATTAGAAAATATTGGCTATTCGAAAGCAGTAATTAATTAAAAACTTTTGGTATATTTAAGTTATATTGTTTTCAATAAAAAATCATAAATTCTTATCTTATTTGCTTAAATTTTTTAACAACTCAGAAGAAGTTATTCCCGTAATTGTTATTTCTTCTTTCTAAAAGGTTAAGTCCCAAAAAAATGTAAAATATATTTATAACTCTTTATATTTTTTTTAAAAAAAGAGTAAAATAACATTTAAATTATTAAAAAAAATAAAATTCAAATAATAATATCATTAATTAGTATTTGTTTTCTTTAAGTCCATCCTTGAAGAAATAGAAAGTTGGATTAACTCCATCATGATACATAGCTACTGCAACCATACCATTGTCAGTATCACAAGATTCTCCTGAATAGAAAGAACAATCTTTGAAAGCTCCAATAACTTTCTTGACAAAAGCAGTAGCATCTACTTTGAATTGGTCAAGTTTTTCTGGATGATTTTGTTGAAGATAATCAGCCATTTTCTTCATATATCCTTTAATATGAGCCATATATTCAGTTTTTGTAAATGCTTGTTCAACTAAATGAGCATTATCAACAACATCAATAACTTTTTCAGCATTAGCTTCTCCAGCTTCTCCAGCAGCTCCTTCTTCTGCATCTTCATCAGCATTACAGGCAATTCCAAAATCTTCTTCTTTTTTAACAACAAATTTAGCCTTAACGACGTACATGCATCCTTCAACAGTTGGGTTAAATGAATCTGAGAACATTTCATCGTCAGTGAAGATATCAGCAAATACAATCATTTTAGACTACTTGAATGATTATTATAAGAACTTTTTCCTTAAATATTTCCTTCCTTTATCCAACCCTCAGGGTTGTTTTTCATTTTAAAAATCCCTCTCTATTCCTCTTATTTTTCGGGATTATTCTTATTACTAACCCTAATTTTATTTTTAGATATCTTTTTATCAGAATTCTACTTTAAAATGTTATACATAACTTAAATCTAGTCATTGATTTCTTAATTATTTCTATGTTATTTTATATACCTACAATAAAGAACAAAAGGTTTTATGATCAGTTTATTTCTATTTTAGTGATGATTTATTATCGTCAGTTCACAATAACAAAGAACTTTCTTGATAATGTTTCTCAAATGTAGAACTTTTTGTGGATTTTTGTATTTAAAAATACTTTTTTTCTCATTATGAATAATATGGAATTTTAAAAAGAATTATACCATTTATGAATAAAATGAGTTATGGTCTAGAGTCTAATTTTTTAGAGTATTTTATATTCAAAAGAATGCATTTTGTGTTTATTTTTCAGTTGTTAGTAAATGTTATAAATATTCTGATCGTTTGAAGAATTTACAACAATTCAACTAAATATATATTGATATTGAATATATGATTATTTAAGTATTTAAAAAGAGTTATTAGAATTTTAATTGTTATAAAAGAAAAGAAGAAATATGAAAAAATTCATTTGAAAAAGAGTTATTTTCGGTTTGAGAGAAGAAAACTTCCACATGAAACAAAAATCTTTATTAATTTTATAATTTTTTTGAAGGAATATTTTGGAATAATTCTTAATATACTTTGAAAAAAAAGGAACTTAAAATCGTATTAGAATGCTGAAAATAGTTATCATTTTCTCATTCCTAGTTGGAGTACTTTCTAATTATCTTAAAAATCCTTCATTTGAAGAGGGTAGTGGAACAGATATAACTGACTGGAGAAACCAATATGAAACATGTCAAATTGATAAAACAATTTCTCATTCAGGTAAACAATCACTTCATTGTAAAGATACATCAACAAGTCAAAGAGGTGGAATTAAACAACGTGTTGAAAAATTAGAAACTGGAATGACCTATAAGCTGTCAGCTTATATTAGAATGAAAGATGTACAAGATGGAAATGTGTTAATATTTTCTGAAAGTTTAGACTCAGAAGAAGGGATTTATGGATATAGTAGTTCAATAACTGGATGTACATCTGGTACTTGTAATGATAAATGGTATTTATTAGAAGTTGTTGGGAATACTGGTTTTATACAACCAACACATACTTTTGGAATATTGTTACATGCTGCTAAAGCATTAGGAGAATTTTGGATTGATGATGTTTCAATGGAAGCAGTAAATCCTGATATATTAACAACACTCCAAGTAGTTTCATGGCGACAAGAAGCGTATCAGGATGATGTAGAAATTAGAAGTGGGATTAATGTAGAAAATACAATATTTGAAAATGGAGATTATTTATCTTTTAAATTAGAACTCTCATCTCAAACTACTTCTTCAAAATTAACTTCAGAAAAATATACAATTAAAAAGGATTTACGCCAACATATTGTATCTTTTATTATTAACCCATCAACACTTGATCCAGGTTATTATATTGTCAAATTAACTTGCACAAATTCTTATCAAACAAAAAAAGTTGAATCAATAGAAACAACTCTCAGAGTACTTGACCATAAGCCTTCATACACAACATATATTGACGAGCATTTAATCACATGGAAAGATGGAAAAAAATTTTTCCCATTAGGTCTTTATTTTGATGAAATTATTGACTCTGACCTAGAGTTGTTAAAGGATAGTCCATTTAATCTTATTATTGGACCAGGTGGAATGACACCTCAAACAATAAATCATATTTACAATGCTACTAATAAACAAATTAATGTTATTAGACCAGTAACTAAAGGTGCTTGTGTTGATCCAAACAAATGTTCTGAACAAGATTTCAAGGATGGATTGGTTATATTGAAAGAGTTAATTACTCAATTTAAAGATGTTGATGGATTTTTTGGATATTATCCAGTAGATGAACCATTAATAACATTTATTGATAGATTAAAACAAGTCACTTGGACTATTAGAGAAAATGATGAAAAACATGTTGTTTATACAGCTGTTAATAAAAACAGAGAAGTAGCTACTCTTAAAGAAGGTATGGATTGTTTTGGATTAGACGTTTATCCTGTTCAAAATAAAGAGCCATTGTATGCTGTTTGGCTTGTTGCAGAAAGAGGAAGAAAAGGAGTTGCAAATGGACAAGGATTATGGAATATTATCCAAATCTTTGATTGGACTGTTTATGAAGAACCAAATGAAGAGCCACCAACTGAACAACAAATAAGACAAATGACTTATCAAACTATTGCTGGAGGATCTATGGGTATTATTTATTATGACTTTACAGATTTACATAGAATGAATAGTAAAACATCATTTGATAAACAATGGAACTCAGTAAAAAAGATTGCACAAGAACTAAAAGATAAATACGTTGATATCATTTATTCTGTTGATACACCAAATAAAAATTATAGTCTTCCAGAACAAGGACATGACGTTGGAACAAGAATATGGAAAAAAGACAATAACGATTATATCCTTATTGTCAATAATCAAAATAATGAAATTACTTATACATTTGATAGACCAAGTGAAGACTTGAATTTAGAAATGATTAGTGGAGCATCAACTATTCAATATAATGGAATTCACGTTACTTTACAAATGCCGTCAATGGACGTTGTATGGCTTAAAAGTGAAGAGTATAAAGAAAATAAAACAGATTCTCTTCAAATACTTACAATTATTTTAGTGATAATATTATGGTTCATTTAATTGATTAAATGAAAAAAAAAGGAATCAATTATGAATTACCTATATTTAGGTTTTCATCATGTTGAGAAGTGAGCAAAAACCAGTTTCTTCAACATGCTTTATTTCATCTGAAATAAAGTTTTTTTCAAACACGCTCGAGTTCATTAATTGATTAAATGTTTTAAAAAAAATATTTACAAAGGTTATTTTGAAAGATATTTAAAAGAATAATTGAAATAATTTTACTTTTTAATTATTATTTATCTTTAAAAGTTATTTAAAATAACATAAAATAAATAATATAATGAAATATAATTTAAAATAAAATTTATTTTCTTAATATAATACTTATTTTATATTATAATTACAATACTATGTTATATTTTAATTTCAATATAACTCGTTTAAATAAAAAATAAAATAAATAATATCCTTTTAAAAGGTAGTTTTTTTATTATGACTTTCATTTAATGTTTAATTTAAAGAATTTTGATACTTCCAAAAAGATTTCATTACTTCAGCAACAAGTCTAGTCATAGAATCAACATCAGAAATACCTCCAATTTCTCTTATTGAATGCATGGATAATAATGGAATTCCAAAATCAATAACATTTAAACCTGTATGTGATGCAATTTTTGGACCAATAGTACTTCCTCCTCCTCCTTTTTCTTGTCGTTTAACAGTTCTTTGAAATTCTACTCCAACTTCTTTTCCTAATTTTGATATAATTGCAAAAACATTAGAATCACCAAGTAATTGTTGATTACAATTAGTTTCAATAACTAATCCATGATTCATATAAACTGGATGTTTATCATCAGTTCTATCTGGATAATTTGGATGCGTTGCATGACCAACATCAGTACTTAAAACAATAGATTTACTTTCTCCGATTTGAATTCTTTCTTCTATTCCTTTTCCATCGTTAAAACAATAAACTATACGTTTCATTATATTTGGTAACATCACTGAATTTGCTCCTCTTCTATTTGTTGAACCTATTTCTTCATCATCATAAATACAACTCATAAGAATATTACAATTTTCTTCTAATAACCCATCTTTACTTGATCTAATCATTCCATAAATTGCTCCATATGAACAAATCAAATTATCAAGGCCTTGTCCAACAACAAATTCTTTATTCATTCCTAATAAACTTGGTTTTTGTACATCACAAAGATATAAGTCATATGTTACAATTGATTTATTTCCAATTCGTTCTTGAATTAATTCTAGTAATTCTTTCTCACTTAATCCAATAGCAGGTAACTCTGTTTCTTTATCAATAATAAATCCTTTTGGATATCTTTTATCTAAATGTGGTGCACATGTAGCAATTCTATACAAAGGTTCTTTAATAGCAATAGGAATACTTTTAAATTGCCCTTCTTCTTCTACAACAACCCTTCCACAAATTCCTAAATCACGATCAAACCAAGTAGTCCATACTCCTCCACCATAAGTTTCACATGAAATTAAATTTAACTCTTCTGATTCTTTGAAAGGATTTGGTTTTAATTTTAATGATGGACTATCTAAATGTGCACCAGCAATAGTAAACCCATTTCCAATTTCCTATTTAATTAAATTTATTCTTTTTTTATTATAACAAACAAACGTATTTCCCTCCAATTGCGAAAGCAAAGACAGTTGCGTCGTCTCTAATAATAAAATACTTTTTTCCTTTTTCTAAAGTCCATAAATTATTTTCTTTTAATAATTGGAAATTATTATCTAAGAAGAGTTGTTTAATATGTTCAACAGCGTTAAAGGCAGATCCAGAACAATTTTCTAAAAATGTAAGAAAGTCTTCTTCCATATTAAACAAGTTCAAATGAATTAATTATTTCTTAGATCAAAAACTCATATAATGACAATTTTTAAATTAAACTTTCTATTTATTGATGGCTTAGTGAGAACCATATTAACTGATAAAAACACATTTACCTTTAACACCTCTCTCAATCCCTTATTACATCACCCTCTTTTTTTAATGAATTAATTTAATTAAAGTAAAAAGTGAAATAACAAAGGTATTAGTATTTTTTTGCTTCTTCAAATAAGAGGAGTAAGTTAGTTACTTCTAATAAATTTGATAAAGTAGTTTTAGTTTATTTAAATCATTGATAAATAAAAAATAATAAAACGTATTATATCATTTATTTATAATTAAATTTATTTATTCAAAATGAATTGGTTTAATTTCTTTGAAATTTTTTGTTTCAATTCTATCACATGGTCTTATTGTCCAATTTCTTCCATATAAAATAATACATTTATCTTTATAATGAAGTTTCATATTAACAATTTCTTTTGGAATAGTTGTAATTTTTACTGGAGTTGTTGGAGAAGCAAGAACAATAACATTCTTTGATTCATAAACACAAATTCCTCTTTTACCTACAAGCAATGGATTTTTTGATTGAATAATACTAATTTCTCCTCCTTGAATTTCAGCATTTAATAAACTATTTAAGTTATGTGATATTTCCATAATTTTATCAATATATTGAACCCATAATTTATTCATTTTAATAACAATATCTTTTCTATATTTTTTAAGTATTTTAATAGAGGAACACTCATTGTTAGATAAAACAAACGTTAGTTTTGAAAAGTCTTGTTTTAATTGTTGAATTCCTATTGGTCTTCTCATAACTTTTGTTGGTTTTTTTGAAAATTTAGGAGGTACTGGTCTTACAAGAAGATTGATACGTAAATAAGAAATATTTGATTCATCAATACACTCTTCTTTTGCTTCTTCATTTGGGAACTCAGTCATTACATCACACAAATATGATTTTAGCATACCGGTTGCTTTTGTTTTATCAACAAAGGTTCCATCAAATTTTTGGTATAGGTCATAATTATTATTCATAGAATTTGATTCCATGGAGTGACACTTTTCAAGATTGAGTTTATTTAAAGGGTTTGTTATTTTTTTCTCTTAATTATTTTTGTGTTTGGTGCTCTCTACAGAATGGTTTTTTGTGTTTATTACATACAAAAAACACTGAAAATATTTCTAACGATAGTTGTTTCATTTTATAACACAACTATTCGTTCATGTTATAAATTTCTTCTCCAGATTAATAACTTTAAGACGCTATAATAATATCTTTTTTCTTTTGCTCTTTATTATGACAAACAGAATATCAGGTGTATGGCTATAACATGTCTTTGTCTCAGTATTAATTTTGTACAACCAGAGTTTATTCACTTCAATTAAACTATTGTTTTTGTTGTCTTCTTATGATAGTTTATAAGACAACAATTTAAGTATTATAGTGCATTATTTGTACAGCTCTTATTTAGTCTCTCTTCACAGTTCTTTTGTAACAGTTATTGGTAGTTTATTACTGGAACTTATTAATATGATTTTAATTTAACTTTTTACTAAGATTGATAAATTATAAATGTATTTAATTATTTACGAATCTTATTTTAATCTTATATTTATTAAATTAAAATGGAATCGGTGATGAACAATCAATTAATTAAAGAAATAGTAGAAACACTTCCAAATATTCAACAGTCAATTGGTGATATTACTAAGCATTATCAATATTATTTAGGAAGTATTAAAAATGAAATATTTGAAATGAGGGATAATGAAACATATTCAGAAGCAATTAAAAGAGGAGAAGGGATATTTGATAGAATTGATGAAACAGAAAGAAGAAGAAGAATGGTGATAGAAAAAGGACAAGAAACAATAAATAAAATAGAAATAATAAAGAATAAAATGGAAAAGATAATAGAAGATAATAAGGATGAAGAAATATTAAGTAAAACAAAGAATGAACTAATCAATAAAATCATTTCAATTGAAGAAATGAATATGAAAGATAAAATTAAGAAATTAGAAGAAGAAATTAACAATATTAAAACAAGATTTAATAAGAAGAAAGAAGAATGGAACAAATATTACAGTGGTTATTTAGAGATAAACAAGAAACAAGAAGAAGAAAAAGAAAAGAAGAAACAAGAAGAAGAGAAAAAAAGAAAAGAAGAAGAAAGATTACAAATAATGAGAGGAATGAATACAATAGAAGAAATTCAACAACTAGAAGAATGGACATCAAGAAAAGTGTCCAATGTACTTTTTGATTCAGATAATGATAATTGGAATCAGAACACAATAACATTTATTCAAAGACTGATAAATAAAGAACATATAATAATTATTAATGAAGATGAAAATGGAAATAAATTTGGAGGATATGTTAATTCTAAAATTGATAAAGTTGGTAGTTGGATAAATGATCCAAAATCATTTTTATTTTCATTAGAATCAAAAGGAAGAATAGAAGGAATGAAGAAATTTGATATTAAAGTACCACAATATGCATTTTGGTTATGTAATCAATCAAGTGAATATTTGTTTTCATTTGGATGTGAAAATGGAAATGGATGGGATTTTATTATAGGTAAAGAAAATAATAAAACAAAATCATCTTGTAAACAGTGTTCGTTTGAATATAAAGGAATAAGAAATGCCCTTTGTGGAAATGAGTATCCAAATATTGGTTTCACACCAAAACGGTTCATTGTAATTGAAATGAAATGATTTTATCAAATATTGTTTATTTGAAATATAAAAACTAAAAAAGAATTAAAATCAAATCAATAATGAAATGGTAAATATAAAAATGTTCATATTTCATTCTGGTTTTATTTTATTTCAGATACTCACACTCATTGTGTTAATTAAATAATAATAATATGAAGAGAAATGAAAGAAAAAAAAATAAATAAAAAGAATAAATAAAAGAGATAAATGATTTACTTTAATAAACAAAAAAACATATATCAAATATTAAACTTGGTTAATCTAATGATTAATCATTGAATATTAAATATAAATATAAAACAATATGAAAATAAGTATTAATTTATTATTATTTTGTGTTCATAAATGTTAATAGTATTTTACATGTTCTATTTATTACATTGTAAATAATAGATAACTTTGGGTTTGTTAATTCAGTATATTTTATTAATTACTAACACATTCTGTTCATTTAGAAGTTCTTTTACTCTTTTTATCATTTCATTTATATCACAATATGGTTGTGTAGTTCTTCTTTAATAAAGTTGTTTTCAAAAGATTCATAAATGGATAAACAACAAAACAATACACAAGAAAAGATAAATGGAACAATCAAAATGGAAAGTTAAGAATAGAAGAATATACAATAGATTAGAAAGAAGTGAAAAAGAGTGAAATTAAGATAATAAATGAGAGAATAATAATAAGAGAAATTAACGAACAAAAGAAAAAGAAAAAGAATAGAGAAATA